AAATTATGAGTTTATATGCAAACTTATTTTATTTAAAAAGTGTGATTGAAAATGCATTTAATATAACCTTTATAAAACATGTCATAAATTAATGAACAAAATAAATTTTATAATTCAGAATGGTGTAGGGATGGTATCAACAAGAAAAAAGGAAATAGCCTTTATTGGGTGGGGAATAAATTCAAAATTATAATCTACGTCAAAATCAATAATTAATTTTAACTGCATATTCAACTGGATTCATAACTTTTCAGTCATACATTTCATCAACTTTTACTTATACTTACTAAAAATTTGATTTTAATCTACACCAAACACGAGCATAAGATAAAATTTAAGTATGATTGCACATATAATCAGCAATAATATACAACAAATTTAACATCTTTTAAGACAATAAATAGAAATATATATATTTACTACATAATCAGAGGGTCATGAATTATCTGATTGTCAAATGATAATAATCAAAAGGCTTCGATCTTTTGCCTCTGGAAAGAAATTGACATTTCTGCTTATCCTCCATTGTCTTCCTCAAAACAAAACATTTTTCCTTCTCTATTTTGTAGTAAAAAATAAAAATAAAACATAAAAAAATAGTAAATTCATAACATTTTCCCTTTGTTTTTTTCATTTTTCTCAAACTTCTTTTCTAAGTGAAAGTGTATGAGCTTTCTGTCCCCCTAATATGTGACCATATATCATCCTCTGCTATCGATTTCAAATTCCCCTAAGTATGCATGTTTGGCCCTGCTTACAAGATACAAAGACACGACTTCTTTCCGTCTTCTTTTGATTTTTAAGCAAAGCCAAACATGCTATGATTTTCGTCATTCTTCAAACGAATGTTTCGATGGACGATAGAGATCATAAGGAGCCCACAAATGATCAACATTGCAAGGTTTTCTCGAGTCGAGCCTCAACCATGGCTTCCCTTTGCCACTCCAATGGAGTAGGCTAATCGGGCCGGGATGCAAACTTCTACATTTTCCTTCGATGTTATCTCCCCCCAAGCCATGCTGATTCCATCTATGATGAACTGGCTCTATATTACCAGCAAGTACAAGCAAAAATGGTGGCAATGAACCCAACTGATATATCCTTTTTTGCTTCTGCACAACCATCCAATACTCGACTTTTCGCGTATATTTCCCCTGTCTCCACTTATCCATGTCCACGGTCATCACACCGGTATTGAAATAGCACGGTTTTCGCCCTTCAAACGTTCTTGACAAGACGGGGTCGGACCAAAAGGCGTCTGTGAAATAATTAGTGAAATTTGCATGACAATACTCTGGTGCTGCCAATACTCTGTCATTCAGATCAACACCCCATAATTTCACAATATCATCCACCATAACAAGATCGGAATCAAGATAGATCAAGCGCTTAATATCGACCGGCAATATGTCTGCTAGATAAATTCTTGCATAGTTCAAAGGTTGATCTAAAGCTTGGCGAATCGACTTCGATATTAAACCGAGCACCCTTCTTGAATCAAAACGATACGCGTTGAAGTTGAGATAAGGGAAAGTCAATTTGATGCTCGAAAAAACCTCGGATTCATTTCTCACATAAAGAAAGTGGAATACAACATTTTCAGGGCAAGTAGAATGCTGCAAGATTGATAAAACAGCAGCCATTGTGCCTCTCAGATAGCTTGCATCAAGTGTCATTGCAACATGAATGTGGTCTATGGAGGGAGATCCGCAAGTCTCACCATTTCGAAATGCCGGGGCCTCTCGGAACACAGGGACATCTACCACGGTGGTGAATGGCTTTCGAAAGCGGAGGCCGGTGGCGGTGGCGGCCGAGGGCGGCTGAAGGGTGGTGGTGAGGAAGAGAGACAGGAGGCCAAGAAATGGAACAGAAGAAAAGCTCCAGAAGAAGGCCATCCTGGCTCAATGAAATTATTTACAATGAGAAAAATAAGGGAAAAAAACAGCAGCAGCCATTGGAGGAGGAGAGGTTGCAAATTACTGGACAAAGATTGGGGAAATTGTGGGGAAGAGAAAAAACCTCGGACCATTTCCTTATTAAGGAACACAACACCATGCATTAATGCAAATATTCTAAATAAATAAGTATATATATTCACAAATAGAAAATTACAAATGTTAAAAGGAAATTTTGTCTATCACATGACAAGAAGTATTTAATAGGATATAGGAAAATCAAAACCGACCCATTTTTTGGGACTGAAATTTTTTGTCTCCCTAGATTTATGACTTGCCACTTTTTCTCTAATGAATTTATCGATACCCCATTTTCGGGAGTATTTACTTGTACAAACGTAACTTCATAATCGGTATGTACTAACAAGAATTCTTATCATGCGTTAATAATAAAGGGTGGTCGTTCTTTTATATGTAGAACTTACCAACGAGCTTCAATACTTTAATGTTATGTTCAAAATCTCGAAGAATACTTCGTGCTTTTAAGTATAAGCTACAAGCGATCTTCAATATTTTAGTATCATTTTTAAAACGTCGAAAAAATAATTTGTAACTTACATTTGAAGTGATTGTCAAGTTTACAAAAGTACTACTTGACATGTATATTACACGAAAAAAATCACCATTTGTAGTCATTTGAAATCAACTTATGAGTCGATAATTTATTCATGTAAAATTATATAAAATAAAACTTGTATACATATATTCAAGAAAGTTGTGAAGATAATTAAGATTAGTTATAAGTAATACTTTTAAGGATAGTCAAACCAGCCCATAACTTAACTTTTCTATCTTTTAAGTTAAAATTACTTTTGAAATTAATGACTTATATTGACTTTTATCAATAAGAAAATATTTATTCAAAAACTTACTTATTTACTTTATATTACTTGAAAAAAAAAATTTAATTATTTTTTATTAACAAAATTCAAAATTTCAATTTCCTAAAAAATATTTGAGAGGCTTATGTCAGAAATTAATTAGTATTCGTAGTCAATTGAAAAGAATATTGTTAGAGTGAGGCTTGGATTGAGGTAGGCATGGCAACGGGCACGAGACGTCACTCTATTTTGAGAATTGGATTGATGGCTTGAGTAATACGCTTGTGTTTGTGCTAAGGTGATTTTAAACATTTTTGTACTTTTTTTAAAAATAACATAACTAGACTCTCTAGACGGAAGGGATTTCACGTCCATGTCTCGTCCCCAAATCATTGCGCCCCTCAATTGAGAGGGGGGGCATTGTGAAGTTTTACTTTCTCGATTCAAATTGACATCCTTAAATTGGAGTTGTCGAGCTTGTATAAGCTCGGTTTTTTGTACTTTATTATCCTTTTTATAATATTAAGTGAAAAATTCTAAAGAGACGAGTGGTAATTCAGACCAACTCGTTTGCTATATCTCGTTACATTTTTATATAATGAAAAAGATTTACATAGTTCGAGAGATAGTGTTTAATTGAAAAAAACTAGAAATGATAATTCATGTATTTAATCTTAAATTTATTTTGTTATTATTTGCAGAATATATCACAAATAGGTAAATTTATTTTTGCCTATGTTTGACAACCATTAAAATTAATTTTTGTTGGAGAAAATAAGTTTTCAAATAGTGATTTTTTTGAAGAATACGTGGTTAAAAAGTAATTTTTTTTTAAAATTTATCTGTAAAATATTTTATTGTAGAAATATATGGTCGAAAATGAATTTGAGAAAACAAAAATTTATTTTAAAGTGGTCAAACAGGGTATATCGATTAAAATTCATATTTTAATTTTAATTTTAATTAATAATTAATTTTAACCATATATATTTTATAGGTTTCACAAATTTTCAATCACGTATTTTAATAATTTTTATCAAAATTTATTAAAAAATTGATTTTAATTTGGGCTTAATAATGCTCTAATTTTAACTCATTACAGCTATATGGATAAACCTCTCTTTAAAACCCTAACACTTAAATCAGAATTTCAAAAACCAGTCTCCACCTCTTTGTTTCTGAAACGGTCTGGATTCCGACATAAGCAGGTACTCCAATGAGCTTAGACTGTGTTTTATTTTTGCTATTCGCTTCTTAAATTATGTTTTTCGTTACAGTTGGTTTTTTCTAGCATACTTAGGAAGGGTCGATGAACACAACGTTTACCATAACAATTTCATTCAATTTATTGATAATGAAAATAAGGGTGTTCGTGAATGAAATTGGACGGCACGTCTTGTTTAGTAAACGTATTTGTCTGTTTCTAGCTTAATGATTTTTTTGAAGAATTGAATTGGAAAAATAGTATTTAGGGTTTAAGAAGATTTTTCTAATTCAAATCGGTTATGATCTTATATAGTTTCTGGAACAAATTAGAAGAATAAATTATAAATTGTAGTATGCAGTTATTTGGTGATTGTTCCTTTATTGTTTTAAATCTGTTCTCACTAAATGCCTTCAGCATTTTACAAACTGGCGCAAATTCTCGATTACAAATTTGAGATTCTGTGGCACCAAAGAGGGGTTATGTCTGCCCTATGAATGTGGTTATTTATTGATATTTACTTTTGGGGACGTAGAATCTTTAGTTCCTGTTTGAGTCCCATTTGTGGCTAAGAATGCATTTTAGAATAGTAGATTGATGGAGAATGTATGGTTAAAAAATAAGGAAATTTTTGGGTTTGTGTGTAATATTATTTTATTGAAGAATGTGTGGTTGAAAAGAATAGAAAGAAAAATGTATTTTGAAAATAATGGAGATCAAACAAGGGCTTAATCTTAACATGTGTTAATTACTTATTTTCCCAGTTTTATGTGGCACAAGTAGAAAGTTATATTAAAAGCAAGCTAGCAAACAAATTGTTAATTGGAAAAACGTCAAAAGCTTGGTATGCTTGAACTATAATTGTTCTTTAAGTGATGCTATTCTTGCTAATAATTGGAGTAATGGGTGAGATAGGAAAAGGATTTAGGGTTCTTCTGAAGTATAAATTGCATAATTCATAGTTGGGGTTATATTAGAGTTTATAGATTCCAACTCTCTTTTCCATACAAACAGTGAGCAATGAGAGGCTTGCAATTGTCATTGAACAAAACCCAGAAACTGAGACTAGAGAGAGCATTAGAGCAGTTGGAATCTCTTTCATCCAAATCCAACTCTGATGCCTCCGTCACCGTCGCCGACAACATTTCCGTCGACTGCGAAGATGCCATTCTGAAGTACGCTCACACACACACACACACACACAAAGTCGTTGTTTCCTTTTTCTTTTTCTAATATTTATGTAGAAAGTTGAATTTTAGTGAACCTTAATTTTGATCTTTTGGATTTAAGGGGACATGGGACAACGGAGTTGGATGGGCGTGTGGTGGCGACACTGTGTGGAGTTGTGGAGCGCGTGAATAAGCTCGTCTATGTGAGGGCTTTGAGGGCCAGGTTTTTTTTTTTTTGGCTAATTTTCAGTTTATTAATTTTGTGAAATTAATTTATTTTCTGGAAATTAAGATTTATTTTGTGTTATAGGTACAAGCCTGACATTGGTGATATCATAGTTGGCCGAGTTATTGAGGTGAAAGAAGAACCATAATTTTTAATCTATTACTCTTCCCAATGCAAAGAAATCTATCTTATTTCCTGAAATGTGAAAAAGAACATTGAGGGTCCTTATTAGCTTCCCATTTCACATTTCTCTGTCTATTTCTCTTTGGCCTTTTCCATTTGTTCTAGTTCTTTAATGTTAAGCCTTAACATAATTGCTGAAGTTGCATTGGCGTTATGCGTATTGTCTTCATATCGCAATAAAGTTTGCAAGACATGTATTTTTCACATCTTTTTTCAGCCAAAGTTCTTATCTTTATTTGCAAAGTTTAGAACATGGGTTTTTCTCTTTAAGGTTGCTCCAAAGCGCTGGAGATTGGAGATCAACTTCAGCCAGGATGCAGTTTTGATGCTTTCTTCTATGAACTTACCCGATGGCATCCAGGTATCTGTCAAAAACCTTTCGATTTTAACTGTAGTGGCCAACCTGTGAAGAACTATTAGAACTAGTAAGTGGACTATATGGTGTGAAAGTGTAGTTACTACCTAACTTAGCATCCCATGATGAGTTTCCAAGTTAGAAATTGAGAGTAGATGGATCTTCACCTCTTGTTTAGCCAATGTTACTTTCAATTTTTATTTTGGAGCAAGAATATGGTTTTGTGATTTCCACATATGAAATATGCTTAACAGATTAAACTCATTTAGTATCTTAATGGTTTCTCTCGTTACTCTTAGGTTATTTTCTTAACTATTGCCTAGAGGTATATAAGATGTTAATCATAGTTTGGACAATGGATGTATGTTGTTGGAATTGGATAATACTGATGATCCTGGGAATGTAGAGTAAGGCTAGCACCTGGATTAGGGAAATTCAGTTGTAAGACCTACTAATGCTGGGATTACGGTTGAATTATTTGGTAGATGTTGTGACGATGGGAATTGCAGATCCTACTATGAGAACCTTTTTGTGTACACTCACTCCACTATTCTAATGGTTGATCATTGAACTAAAGTTGTTCTTACTATTATTGTTGCTACGACTTTGAATGCATTCTTGTTTAATACATGTGGGATTGCTTGCTTGCATATCTCCTCCTTGAAATTCATTGTCACTAGGTTTATATATTGAGGTTGGATAAAATAAGATGAATGTTCTAAATTGATTCGTGGTCTAATTAATCCTGCTGTTTTTCAGAGGCGACGAACTGCAATTGATGAGCTTAACATGCGCAGTATATTTGAAGAAAATGATGTCATCTGTGTAAGCTAGCTTTCTCTTCTAATTTTTTAACTATTCTGGTTGCAGTCCATCCCCTTTTGGTGAGTCGATAGAGAGAGTTTTTATAGTTTATTATGCTCTTAATGCATGCAATCCCCCTATCAGGTAGACTGGCTCAGTTTTCCCTTTCTCATTTATACAATGTACCATAATTTTCTATGTTCTTAATGGAGTATATAATTGTCTGACTTGTTCCAAAAAAAGGGGGGGGGGGGGGGGGGGGGGCAAAGGAAAGGAAGGGAAGGGGAAGGGGAAGGGAATGCTGCTGCAAATCGCAGTAGCGTCGCTGTGACGCTGCCACCGTTCGGCAGCAGCGTCTCGCAGCAGAGGTGTTGAGGGAGAGGGAGAGGGAGAGGGAGGGGGAGGGAAGCGGCGGGCGGGCGGCAGCGGCAGCGGCAGAGGCAGAGGCGACAGCAATGGAGAGAAAAGTT